CCTATCCATATCCCTTGGGGGCTTAGTTGCCGACCTGTTAGGATGAACTGAACCCGAGGGGGCTCCCAACTGGTCGTCCACGACCCTAATCTTTGATTGGTAACGGTTATGTACGTCTGACCACGTCACAGCTGGATACTCGATCAGATTCTGCTTTAGTTGTCGAGACGCGATCGAACTCCTTTCATTCAAACCCTGCATAAAAGCTTGTACTGCCCAGTCATCCGAGACCGGTGGTAACTCCATTTGCTCCATCTGAAACCTAGACACGAACTCCTGTAACATCTCGTCGTTCCTTTGTTTTATCTTGAAGACGTCCGATTTTTTTGTTGCCACCTTTATGGCTCTGGAATGTGCTTTCACGAAGGCGTCTGCTAACATAGCAAATGAATCAATGGAATTAGGAGGCAAGTTGTGATACCAAATCATAGCTCCTTTTGAAAATGTTTCTCCAAACTTTTTTAAGAATACTTATTCGATCTCATCGTCGTTCAAGTCATTTCCTTTGATCCCGCAAGTGTATGAAGTAATATGTTCGTTAGGGTCAGTTGTCCTGTTATACTTGGGTATATCGGGCATGCGAAACTTTCTAGGGATGGGCATCGGAGCCGCGTTCTGAGGGAACGGTTTTTGTATGGACTTTTTTGCATCTAAACCTTTCAAAACTGGAGGTGCCGCCGGTATCTGGTCAACATGGGAGTTATAAGTCTCCACCTTCTTATCATTGTCCTCAATCTTCTTTTCCCCGGACTCGATCCTCTTGGTGAGCTCTTCGAGCATCCTCATAATGGTGGGGTCAGTCCCCAAGTCATTTCCGTTCGACCTCTCTGGCGCTGGTTCAGCACGTCAAGTGTTTTCTGGTTCAGCTACACTCGGAGTTTTATTTTGTCTCTGAAGTTGGCCGATGGCGATCTGCTGAGCTTGCAGCATCTCGTATATCACTTGGAGGCTGACTCCCCCATCTCCTATACCTGGTGTTCCTTGACCCCAGATCGGGCTTCTCTGCGTACACTCCCTCCGGGGTCTGCGCCTAAATCTGCATCCAAAGAAATGTGTGAACTGACATGAACTGGTTCCATATTTGGCACTTCCCCTGGGTTTATCGGTGGTAAACCGACCCCTAAATTGTTGTTTTCCCCATGAAAGCCAAGACCTTCGTTGTCATGAACAGGTGCATTTAGCGAGTTCGACATGTTTAATCCTGAGAATCAGAAAATCTTGACAAGAAAAAGCGTAAAAATAACGTGTGTCATGAGAATCAGTAAAAAAATAATCACTATTATCTTTAGCCCCACGGTGGGCGCCAAACTATTTACCTCGAAAAAACGAGTAACAATTAAATTCGATTTGTGGTTTTAAAGATATGTGATTTAATTCAATACCAATTAATAATCAAGAAATATAGAGTATAGATGAAAGAAATGGATGAATCAAACCAGTGTTACTTAAGCAGCTGACCTCGAGCTCAGTGACCTCGAGATGGACCAAGAACAATAAAGTAAAAGGACAACTCTGATGAACAATATCCCTAACTGCATGCCCCTATCGTCTCCAACCCCACCCTGGTAGTGTTTGCCATTATATATAAATGCTCTTGGGATAATAATTTTTATTTACTTACCAAACAATATTTTAAAATAAGTAAAAAAAATACTTATTTTCTAGAAATATTAATTTTTTCACAGAAAATATTTTTCTTCGTACAAAGCACATCCCCGATGTATAATCTATGTTTTTGTTTTAATCCTGATCAATAATCTTGGATAAAATTTGCGTCAATTTTAACTTGACCTTTTTAATAAAATGGATTTGGCACAAGAGCAATTTTGTCATTTTACTTATTTTATCCGAGTAGAGTTAATCCTTCGATTGCTACTCCATATAAAATATGGTATAAACTAACCTAGATTTCAATATAAAAGTTATCGGTAGCACTTGTACTGAAAAAAGAAACGCAACCAAACAATATTATAAAATAATACCTATTCTTATACAAAAGATTATTTTCATATTTTAATCCCGATAACCAAACGACCTATATCTGAATTTTAACAATTTCAATGAGGAAGCTGTTGCCCGTAAATTAAAGTGTTCTCAAGCTAAGCATTTAACTTTGTTACAGCATATAATTAAAGTGATGTCTTGGTCAGACAAGTGGGAAGGGTTCTAAAATCAGTAAAGTTATTATTTTAGTACTGTTGCCCATTTCCATCAAAGCGGTAGGTGACGAAGGGTCGTTATTCTGGCATAATATAGAAAAATAATTAGAGGTTCTAATAATTTTCTTCTTTGTTTAAAAGCAGTGGTCAGGATTAGGATGGAGGAATATATATGAAATCAGAAAAAATTAGACAGATAAATAAATAAAATTATAAGTGATAGGTGGAGTGAGGACTCAACTTGAAGTCATTGTGGTGATGGAATCTTAGAGGGTGTTTGGCTAAGCTTATAAGCTGGTCAAACTAGCTTATAAGTACTTTTTGGCTTATTTACGCGTTTGGTAAAATTAAAAGTGCTTATAAGTTAAGTTCTTATAAGCTAAAAATAAGCCAAACGTCATAAGTTGGTCTCCCCCAACTTATCAAATTTCAGCTTATAAACACTTTAGGTTTGACCAAAATATTTACTACTCCATCCCTAAAATACTTCTTTTTAGAACAAAACTCTTGGTATACCCAGTTCTTTAGCTGCTTATTATTAATTTCAGCACTTTTATCCAAACACGTAACTGCTTATTTTTTAAATCAGCTTCAGCATTTAAAAGTGCTTTTCAGCACCTAATACTTATCTGCTACTCTAAATCAGCTAAGCCAAACGGGCTCTTAGTCTTTAGGAAAATAGATGGAATTAAGCCACTTTAAGAGCAAAATTACTTCTTTGCTACATTGGCAAGACAAATCGATCGGTTACTTATGATTTCCTCACGTAGTATTAATTATCTTTGTCATCTATATCTATTTTGCGTTATGTAATCCCCAGTAATTAAGTAACTCGATGTTTGCTTTGTACATTTAGAGCTTATAAAGATCTGTTTATTCTAAAATTCGAGTAACAATTAAACTTGTTTTGTGATTTTAAAGATATGTGATTTAATCCATACTAATTGATAAACTAGGAATCATACGTATAAGTTAAAGAAATAAGTTAAATCAAACCAGTCGTGTAAGCAGACCTCGACCTCGAGTAAGGGCGTCCTCGAGGTAAGTGAACAAGAATAACAAGAACAATAAAATAATAAGATGATTCAGATGAACAGTAAGCAAGAAAGCGATAGTGTATATTCTCTTCTCAATGATTGAATAATCATGCGTTACAAATAATTGGAGTCCCCTTATATAGTAGGGGAATCCTAAATAAGGTACAATTCTAATAGTAGTAGGGTATCTTATCATATAGCTGCCTAACCGTCTAGTACAAATCCGTTCCGGAATTTATGCCGTGATCTTAGGGCCACCGCTAGAATCTCGCTCTTTCTGTTATAAAACTATAACGGTATCATCTCGAGGTTGGCCGTACTCGGTCCCGGTGTTCATCGAGCATTCCGATCTTCGAGTATAGTATTCTGCCATTGGGCTCGAGCCCGGCCCATATCAAATTTGTTTCTTGATGCGACCCCTCGAGCCTACAAAATCGGGGACACACGATTTTACCGTACATAGATAGTTCCCGCGTTTCTTAGAATAAAATGATAAGAAACGACTTGAGCCTCGATTTTCCGGAGTCCTTGATGATGACATCATTCTCGTGACATAGGCGCTCGAAGTGATCGAAACGTCCCGTCGGTTCGCTTCCCCAAAACATTAAATGCTTTACTAGTGGTGGTCGGCCACTAGCGTCGTTGAATCATCGCCGCTTGCCTATAAATACAAAGTTCAATTTCGGAAAAAACTTTACTTCAATCTTCAGACCGCCTTCAAACTCCTTTTATCTCTCCCTCTCTTCATCTCTTCTCCCTCATTATCTGTTACCTAATTCCTTTTAGCGTCGAAAAAACACCAAGTTCCGCCTACTTCCGCCTTTACTAATCAAAATCAATGGCAAAAACTTCCAAAATAGTTCCTCAAAAGGAGAAAGCTTCCTCCTGCTCTTCCTGACCGGCCAAACAGGTGGCGCCGACCCTTCACGAGATTATTCCCGGCCCCTACGTTATGAAAAAAAACTTTAACGTTGAAAATCCCCCCAATACCCTGGCTAATGCGAGCATGTATCCCAGTATATCAGCTCGATAATGGAGTAGCACCTCAAGGCTGTGAACAAAGACTGTGGCTGGGGGGATAAGGTCGTGGTACAGATTCCCAACCCCGAGGAGAGCATTACCACTCATGTGGAGGGGTTCCTAAGTGTTTACACTTACCCCTTCACAGTGTGTCCCCTTGATCCAACCGTGATTGACTTCTGCAAAAGATATCAAGTCACCCTCGGCCAGATCCACCCTTCTTTCTGGCGTATAGTGATTATACTTCGCTACTTCTCTAGCAAGGCCGAGGGACTAAATTTCACCCTCAATCACCTCATCTGATTGCATCGGCCTCAGCTTTTCCGATGGTTGATCAAGCTCCAACGCCGATCGAGCAAAGCCTTCTTCGATATCAATGGCGAGGATAAGGATCTGGGCTGGATGAGCCGTTTCGTACAAGTGAGGACCTCGGATGTCATCCCCGAGGAAAAAATGCCATTCCCAAAGAAATGGGACCTCGATCGTAAGTAAAGCCCTTCCCCAGTATCCTCTTATATTCCATTTTCGCATTGTGTGATGCCTTCTCTCTTTTTGCAACGGTTGCTTGGATGCCACATACGGTCGCCGAGGTTGAAGACTGGTCCGGAAATTAGCTGCGACCTCCTCGTATGATGAGCGCAAATGGCGTGACTTGGTGAGGGGCAAATGTGAAGCCAAGCACCATGGTTAGTTCTTCTCCCAAGTTTTTTATGCTTTCCCCTTTATTGGAGATGTCATATTATGTCTAATTTTCATTCATGCAGGCATTGGAGATGTCTTTGAAATGAGGCCAGCCCCGCTCGGGGAAGAGACCAAGTCCCCGATTCCAAAATCGGGGAAGGATAATAAGAGAAAAGGGGCTTCAAAACCCGAAGACCCCCAAGATAAGAGGGCCCCTACTCAAAGGCAAAGGAGGAAACTCATTCACGTGGACATAGACTCAGTCAATCAACTGAATGATGAAGAAGAAGACGAGGGCGAAGAATCGGCGTTGGTGACCCGAGCCAGGAAACCAGTTGAAGCTGTCAAGCCCTCAGAACCGGAGACCCTGCCTCAAAGTGAGGAAACTCCGAATAAAAATGCAGGCAAAGACCCTGAATCGCCTGAGGTCGAGATCGTTCCTCCGCCTTTAACAAGCATAGGAAACGAGACAAGTACCGAGATCCCCGAGGCTGAAGAGAGCACCCCGAGTGATATGCTCGGGGCCATGAAAATAGGTCACTCTCCTCCTCTACCAGCTTATTCTCAGGAGGCAATAAAGGAAGCTCAAGCTCTGCAAACGCCTGACCCGAGCGCAGTCCCCGGTGAAGAATATCGTTTCTGGGATTGTTTTACTGGGGTCGATGACGCCGCCGACCTCAATGACGCATCTACCCTCTTCGAAGAGGCTCACCGTCTTTTCTCTCAGTAAACATTAACTCCTATTGCTGCAATCTCTTCTTCTCCCCTTACTCTAACTGATATCTCTTTTTCCAAGTAGGCCATTACTAGGTTTAGGGCCGAGCTGAGCCAATGTGAGGCTGAGCTCAAGAAGTCCTCGGATGAAGGGAAGGCCCTGAAACTCCTTTGCAGCCAAAAGGAGGAGGAGCTCAAGGACCTTCGGGCAGACTTGGTCAAAGCTAGTAAAAATAAGGCCGAGTTAGACAAGCAGGTAACTATCATTTTGAAAGAGTATAGTCTACTTGACCCAACTGTGGAGGCTAACACTTCAGTGTCTCAGCTGCAGCAAAAACTGGAGATGATCAAGCAGCTTCAAGGGGAGGTCGATCAAGTTAAGGCCGACTACAACCGGTGGAAGGAATATATGGATCGACTTGCTGCTGAGAAAGAGGCTACTCTAGCCAAAATGGCCTCGATTGAGACCCAGATCCGGGGTGCTAAAGAGAAAAATCTAGCCCAGGCCAAAAAGATCGATGAGCTCGAGGCCAAACTTGCCGCAACCGAGGCTGAGGTTGCTGAAGCAGGACGAGGTCAAGAAGATGAAGGTTGCGACTAATAAAACCGTTGCAGTGTACCTAAGGGATGCTGAGGCTACTCAAATGGAACTAAGTGAAGCCTCCGACCGGGAGAAATGGAGCAATGATTTGGCGAAGTGCCAATCCCGGAGGGAGACCCTCTAAGAGATCCATGCTCTAGGTTTCGACCTTACTGAAGAGTTAGCCCAAGCAAAAGCGCTAGAAGCCGATACCAAGTTTCTCATCTCCTCCTCCGATGATGATGATGACGAAGGCAGCCAAAGCGGGTCCGATAATGAAGTTAGGCCCAAAGAGGAAGCTGCTCCCGCGGGAGAGACCAGCCCTGGGCATAGATAAAATTTTCCTTTCTCTTTTTTGTATTTTTCTTTTGTAAGACCTTTTATCTGTCTCTTGCATATATCTTTTTCTAAGTATATATAAAAAGAATTTCCTTGAATGTTTTCTCGATATTTCCTGCCTTACAAAATTCTTGTACTAATTTCATTCTTTGAACGGTATGTTCGGGATTTTATCTCAGACGGTTTCTTTGAAATTGTCGTGGTCGAGTTCAAATAAGGTTCGAACTTTAGGGCATAGACCCTTATGGGCTCGTGCTAGATAATGGTGAGTCCCCGAGCCATAATCAAGTTATTATTTATTTATGCTTGGGATAATCGAATCCTTTGATTTGTATCGGGTGAGAACAAGATCTCGAACCTTAAGTGTATCGGCCCTTAGGCTCTTTTAGATCGGTCAATTATGGCCTCTAAGAGATGGCTATTATTTTTCCTTTTCGGCTTAGAAGACTTAGTAAATATTTATTTATGTCTTGGCATGCATTTTTTACCCATTGGATTTTTGAGGGTTTGGTATCGATCGAAACCCTTTGTTTTTAATGCCTTAGCACAAGTTTGTATTTGAATAATTCGATACCTCTTAAGTTTTTTCGAGGGATGATTTTATCGAAGCCCTTTGATTATTTTGCCGAGGGTAGCCTTTATTTAACCGATTTTCTGAGAATTCGAAGGCCTGTTTTTATTGCGGAATTCGGACGTCTCCGAGCCGCGTTATTTAGGCCGTAGCCTTCGGGTGTGTCTCTTGGACTTGTTTCCCGATAACATTTCGAACTTGTCCGAAATGTTAGTCCCCGAGTATGATGGCCTTGGCCTTTGCCTCGAGGGATGCCTCTTTGAGGTCTTAAAAATTCGAGTTTAGACAACTCGAATGTATTGACTGTTGATGACAGTCCCCGAGTATTCGAGGTGTATTTGCGTTTTGGACCTTGATCCGTTTCTCGCAGAATCACAAATATGGAGGTCGTATAGTAGCAAGTTTCTTTAGGACACAAAGTGTTTGATATAGAAAGAATGCTTCTTTGAATAATTCATGCATGCGTACATGTTTTGCCATCGGGGCTCGACTATCCTATATGGACACGGTTCCTCTGACCGTTTGGCCCATTGCAAAATTTTCCTATCGAGGCCCTCTTTAGCGTGAAGTATTTTTCTCGAAAATATAACCTCCGAGGGTGATGCCCCCCAGCATTTGAGGCTGATTGAAAAGAAGCCTTAGATACTGTTGAATTCTCCTTAGGTAGCACATAGTTGTTGCCTCGTTAAAAACCTTGCCGGAAAAATCCATTTGGGATAAAACCCGATATAAGGGAAAAAGAGTGCAACGCGTGCTTTACAACCTAAGGTCTTCGGGTACAAGGGTGTCCTCGACGTCTTCGATCGAACACCTGCAATGAGTTAGTCTTAAATACATATGAAAAAGAGAAGTAGGTTATACCTCAGCAAAAATATCGCTTGAGCAGTGATACATTCCAATTGTTTGGTAATTGTTCGCCTTCTATCGTGCCAAGTTTGTAAGATCCTTTCCCGATGACTACAATGACTCGTTATGGTCCTTCCCAGTTCAGGCCTAGTTTCCCTTCATTCGGGTCTTGAGTATTGAGGGTGACTTTCCTTAGAACTAAGTCCCAGATTCCGAAGTGTCGAAGCTTGGTTCTTCTATTATAGTATCTCTCGATTCTTTGCTTCTTTGCAGTCATCCGAACAAATGCAGCTTCCCGTTTTTCATCTAATAGCTTGAGGCTAGTATTCATAGCCTCATGATTTGACTCCTCCGATGCATGTCGGAAGCTGGCGCTGGGTTCCCCGACCTCGATTGGAATTAATGCCTCGGAGCCATATACTAAAGAGAACGGGGTCGCCCCCGTACTGGACTTCGATGTTGTTCGATATGCCCAAAGAACTTCGGGTAGAACTTCTCTCCATTTCCCTTTAGCGTCGTTCAACCTTTTCTTCAAGTTTTGTATGATAGTCTTGTTTGTCGGTTCGGCCTGCCCGTTTCCGCTCGGATGATACGGTGTTGATAAGATCCTTTTTATTTTTTGTGCTTTGAGGAATTTTGTTACTTTGTTGCCGATAAATTGTTTGCCACTGTCGCATACAATTTCGGCAGGTATCCCGAATCGACACACGATGTTATCCCAGATGAAGTCAATAACTTCATTTTCTCTGACCTTCTCGAAAGCCAGTGCTTCCACCTATTTATAAAAGTAGTCAGTCATAAGCAAAATGGATTTAGCTTTACCTAAGGCCGTTGGTAGAGGGCCGACGATGTCCATTACCCATTTCATGAAAGGTCGTGGGGACGGGACTGAGTGAAGTTGCTCTCCGGGCTGATGAATCATCGGTACAAACCTTTGACATTTATCACATTTTCTAACAAACTCCTTAGTGTCTTTTTCCATGTTATCCCAGTAATACCCTGCTCTAATAATTTTGCGAATCAAAGACTCGGCGACGGAGTGATTTCCATAAGTGCCTTCGTGGATTTCTCGTAGAAAATAATCGGTGTCCCCTGGCCCTAAACGTACCGCCAATGGTCCATCGAACGTTCTCCTGTATAATGTTCCATCTTCATCCAATGTGAACCTAGCAGCCTTGGTTTGCAGAGCCCTCGACTCTTTATAATCCGATGGGAGCTTTCCATTTTTAATATTCGATATACTTATTCCTCCAAACCCAAGTCAAACTTGTAGAATTTATCTCGGCATGACCCTCCTCAACCATAGATCTCGATAATTGGACGATAGTCCCTGGGATAATATCATCTTCCTCGACTGATGACCCCAAGTTTGCAAGTGCATCTGCCTCACTGTTTTGTTCTCGAGGTACATGGTCTAAAGTGCATTCCTTGAAGAGATGCAAGGTTACCTGTAGCTTGTCCAAATATCTTTGCTTCTATCCTCTCGCACTTCGAAGCGTTTGTTTACTTGGTTTACCACCAACAGAGAATAGCACTTGGCTTCAACGACTTCTGCCCCCTAGCCCTTAGCTAGCTCAAGATCTGGAATCATGGCCTCATATTCGGCCTCATTATTAGTCAACCTAGAAGTTTTGATGGTTAGTCTAATAGTGTTACCTGTAGGGGGCTTCAAAATAATGCCGAGCCCGGACCCTTTCACATTCGAAGCACCGTCCGTGAAGAGGGTCCATACCCCCGATGATGTAACCTATTTTAGCAGAAGTTCTTTCTCCACTTCGGGTACGAGGGTCGGTGTAAAATTTGCCACGAAGTCAGTTAAGATTTGAGACTTGATGGTCGTTCGGGGTTGATATTCGATATCGTACCCGCCAAGTTCGACGGCCCATTTGGCCAATCGACCCGATAGCTCGGGCTTATGCAAAACATTTCGAAGAGGATAAGTGGTAACACACATATGGGGTGACACTGGAAATATGGCTTTAACTTTCTAGATGCGCTTATTAATGCAAGTGCCAATTTTTCTAAGTGTGGAAATCTAGTTTCAGCGTCTCCTAAAGTCCAACTTACGTAATAAACAGGGAACTGCGTACCTTGCTCTTCTCGAACTAGTACACCACTTACCGCTTTTCGGACACTGCCAAATATAAGTACAGCTTCTCATCTACCTTCGGAGTATGAAGTAGAGGCGGGCTCGACAAGTATCGCTTCAATTCCTCCAGTGCTTGCTGACATTCCGGGGTCCAAGCGAAATCATTTTTCTTTTTGAGTAAAGAAAAGAACCTGTGGCTTCGATCTGATTACCTCGAGATGAATCGCTTTAAGGCAGCTATCCGTCCGGTTAACCTTTGCATGGCTTTCACACTGTCTACAACGGTTATATCCTCGATGGCCTTAATCTTATCGGGGTTGATTTCGATTTCCCGATTTGATACCATGAAGCCGAGAAATTTGCCCGAGCCAACCCCAAAGGCACATTTTTCTAGGTTAAGCTTCATGTTGTACTTCCTCAAGATTTTGAATATTTCCTGCAAATGAGTTAGATGGTTCTCCACGCGCAGAGTTTTAACCAACATATCATCAATGTAAACTTTCATTGATTTACTTATTTGTTCCTCAAACATTTTGTTAACTAGGCGTTGATACGTAACTCCAGCATTTTTTAGTCCGAAGGGCATTCCATTGTAACAGTATGTTCCAAACTTAGTGATAAGTGAGGTCTTCTCCTGGCCCTCCGGGTTCATAGAATTTGATTGTACCCGGAGTAGGCGTCGAGAAAGGTAAGGATCTCGTGGCCGACCGCGGCATCGATCATGCGATCGACGTTAGGTAGTGGAAAGGAGTGTTTAGGTCATGCCTTGTTTAAATCCTTGTAATCTACGCACATTCTAAGTTTGTTCCCTTTTTAGGGACTACAACTACATTCTAACCATTCGGGGTATTTTACCTCCCGAATGGACCCTATTTTAGGAAGTTTAGTTGCCTCATCCTTAATGAATGCATGCTTCACCTCGAACCGGGACCTTCTTGTTTGCTTTACTGGTTTGAACCTAGGGTCGAGGCTTAGCCGATGTGATGTTATTTCCGGTGGGATCCCTGTCATGTCTAAATGGGACTAAGCAAAACAATCCATGTTATCGATAAGAAATTAAATGAGTTTTTTCCTGAGTTCGGGGGTTAACCCCGTCCCCAGGTATACCTTACATTCGGGTAGATGCTCGATCAATATCACCTGTTCCAGCTCTTCGAACGTTGACTTGGTTGCATCTGACTCTTCGGGAGCAACGAAAGTTCGAGGAGTGAGGAAATCCTCTTCTTCTTCTTCGATTATCTGTTTCTCTGGTTCAGTCGAAGCTGGTGACGGTGATTGCTATTTGTCCATCTGCTTTTTTGGTGCTCGATTTTTATGAGGTCGAAGGCGCTAGTGTCGGCGCCACCTCATCGACTGCAAACATTTCTTTTGCAGCATGTTGTTCCCCGTAAACCTTTTTCACACCATCCACTGTTGGGAATTTCATCATCTGATGAAGGGTCGACGACACTGCCCTTATGTTGTGGATCCATGGCCTCCCGAGTAGTGCATT